AATTGCCTCCACTGGACTGGCCTGTGGCCATGTTTGTGGGGTATTTTCTTGATTTTTGAGTGATGTGGGAGGGTCCAGCCCACTATGGGTGGTGCCACCCCTGGGCATGTTATTCTGTATCGTATAAGAAAGCGGGTCAAGCAGGGACCAGGGGAGCAAGCCAATAAATAGCATTCCTCCTTGGCTTGTGCTCCAGCTCCTGCCTCCAGGGTCTTGCCCTAAGTTCCTACCGTGGACTCCCTGATGAACTGTAACCCGGGAGATGTAAGCCAAATAAACCCTTTCCTCCCCAAGTTGGTAGTGGTCAGAGTGTTTTGTAACAGCAAGGGAGAAATAAACTAGAATACCTTATGAACAATTTTTGGAAGAATTCTCTTCAGGGACACATTTCCAAACAAACAATAAACAAGCGATTTAGTTCTGTTGGCATTTTGCAGGGAGCAAAAGCTGGGACAAGCAAGTAGCAGTGTTGACTCTGAACAGAAGTTTGGATACCAAGTGTAGCACTGTCCACTCCATTGCCGGTGCCACCTCAGGCCCCTTGGATAGGTGGCAAGTAGGATGTACACACGGGACGAATAGAGCTGTAATGTTTTTCAAGACATTATTATTGCAATACTTTCATGCTAAGACCACATCATTCTCTTTTAAAAAATATTTGCATTGACTCTGAGAATTTCATACCACATATTCTGATTATGTTCAGACCCCCTCCCCCATGTTCACCCCTGCTTACTGCCCTCCCCTACTTCCTGCCCTCTGTTAAAGGCCTATCAAGTCCAATTTGTGTTTCTCAAATGCTCTTGGGCATGGGTCCATCCCCTGAAGGCTGGTCAACCCACCTGACATCACACCTCTAAAACTGATTCTTCCTCTCCCAGAAGCTATCAATTGCCAATAGTTCCTCAGCTAGGCCTGTGGGTTCATATGGGCAACTGTTCTGTCAGTTTCCTGGTATTTATCCACCCACTTTGGCTCTTGAAATCTTTCTACCTCCTCTTCTGAAATGACCCTGAGCCTTGGGAAGAGAGGGTGTGATATAGGTGTCTCATTTAGGGCTGAGCCCTCTGCAATCTCTTATTGTCTACACATTAGCCAGTTGTGGGTCTCTGTGTTAATCGCCATTTGTTGCAAGAAGTTCCTCTGGTGAGAGCTGAGAGATGCATTAATCTATGCGTATAACAAGTCATTAGGAGTGGGATTAATACTATGCCCATTTAAACAGAATAATAGTAATAAGTTTCCCATTATGGCTGTGATCTGTCTAGTCACAGGTTTTTGGCCCTAATAGTGCCAGTTATGGGCTCCATCTTGTGAAGTGCCTTAAATCCAATCAAAAAGTGGTTGGTTACTCTCATAACATTTATGCCACTATTGCACCAATGGGTATATACTGCCAGGCTAGTTATTATAGCTCAAAGACTTCATAGTTGGCTAAAACTGATGGTTACTTTTGTCTTCTAGTAACATGTGTAGCACCTTCCAGCACTATGAAAGCTATTCAGTAGATGAAGCTTTGACGTCAGTACTGACTTGATTTCTTTGTGTTTGTTCTACAACTCATATTTGTAGTGTCTTCGGAAATAGGGTTTTATTGTCAAATTCTGGAAGGTAACCAAGAGCAACGGCAATAGCCAGTTTTGTTTGAGGGTCTATGGGATCCCTCTGGTCAACAATTCCAAGAGTCCATTGCTGGCATTGGGCTTATTTGCCAGCCTGTGGTGTCTAGTAGAGGCATTGTCCCCGTTATAGAGTAACTGCATTTCAATTTGTAAGGGGAGTGAGGGACTTCATCGGAGGGGACATAGAATACAGGTACATCATTCTTACTGTAGAAAATATGCTGCCTAGAATCATCAAGCTAACTTTCTCTGTTCCCTTTACCTCCTCTGTTCTTTGTGTTAATGAATTCACCCTGTTCAATGAATCTTTCCCACAAATGTCAGCACAATGCTGGAGTTTGGTTCCTCAGTCTTTTCCTGTCTGATGCTATCTCCAGACATACTGTGTCATTCATTACTCACCTTCCTCTTACGTCAGCTTGTTGACTAGATCTTCAGTCCCTCTGCTTGCCTTCAGTAGTCATCCCTTACATTCAGCAAATTAAAGAGTTTATGTAGCATGGAAAGTGTCATCTGGTTATATAAAGTTATAAAAATGGGCGACAATGGCCTCTCTGAACTTTTTATTTGCTAGCTTGTGGTGTCTGATAGGGCCCTTAGTTTCTTCTTGCTTTTTTGTTTTTTGACAGTATATTTGTATACGAGGCTGTAATCACATTCACAGCCCCACCACCTCTCATCCCCCTCCCACTCCTACCAACCCTTCTTCCCAACTAGCCCCTCCTATGCTCGTTTCTTTTCTGTTTTTTATATCTGAAGCAGGCAATCACAGCTGCTATGTGTTCACAATTGTAATGGCCCTGTCACAACTAGAAGACAGCACCCACTACACTCCTATCTTTTAATTTTTATTTTTTGGATATGAATGCTATGTCTGCATGTATATAAGTGTACCTGTGTTATGCAGTGCTCATGAGGGACAGAAGAGAGTATTGGATCCCCCTGGAACTGGAGTCACAGATGGTTGTTAGCTGCCGTGTGGAAGTTGGGATTCAAACCTAGGTCTTCTGCAAGAACATCCAGTGCTCTCAACCACAGTCCCTCCTCCCCATCTTTTGATTTCTAATCTCTCAACCTCCCTACAGTGATCTGTAGTAGCTCTAAGTTCATTGGGAGACACATCAAACACACTTCACTCCGCAAAGGAATTCGGTTTGGTTACCATTTATGGATGGCTTGGAGGTAAATATTCTGTCACATGATAGTGTTATATGACAGTGGAAATCAATGAGACATGACTTATTTTATAATTCTATAATGTGTGACATACATGTGAACCAATTACTACCAGTCACCTTAATCACCAGCTTTCCATTGCAGAGGAAAACACTCTCATAGGATCAGTCTTACTACATTACAAAATATTCAGAGGTCATAAGGCTACAAAAATCTTGTGGTAGCAGAAAGGTGAGAAAACATGCCAAAAGAAATTGGTAAGTTTGGCCCTGCGCAGTGGCGCACGCCTTTAATCCTAGCACTTGGGAGGCAGAGGCAGGAGGATCTTTGTGGGTTCGAAGCCAGACTGGTCTACATCGTAAGTTCCAGGACAGCTGGGGCTACAAGGAGACCCTGTCTCAAAAGAGACAAAAAAAAAAAAATCGATAGGTTTGTGAAAAAATAACACAATACCCCACCTGAATGGTCAAATTCGGAGCAAACTCAGGATTTTCCAAACAAAAGAGCAGAGCTAATGGAACCTTCATTATTCCACCAAAGTTGATCCCATGTTGGCAAATCCTCTAGTCTTTGATTTCTTATTCCTATTCCCCCCCCATAACTTCATTGTATATACATTTTTAAGTAACCTGCTTCAAGTTATTTCTAAAAAAATGTGTTAAAAATTGCCTTCCTTTGGAATAAAAAAAAATTAAATATAGAGAAACAGAAAAGATCCATGATTTAATCAACACAACCTAGACACAAACACCCTGGCTTTCCACTGAAGCTTTTCTGCTTAGGATGCTTGTTACTATGCTAAAGTAACAGAGAGTAAAATGTTAACCATGGATATGTAAGAGAGTATTATGTGATATATTTACTAGATTTTTTTTTTTTTTTTGCCTGTAGAATGCTGATCAAAGAAATGAATCTAGTCAGGAACAAAGAAACTAGCATTTTCTTGAAGTTGACTAGGACTGCAGTCCATAGAAACAAAGGTCCAAACAGCACTGACTTTGTCAGATGGCCCACGGAGGACAAAACTGCTCCCAGCAGAAACTTTCCGAAGGTTGTTCTTTCAATGCAACCTTCCACCAGGGAATTCTGAAAGCCTCTTCCCCAATATGTTATCAAATGTACTCTTGTACTCCAGTACCACGAGATGATTATCAATTCAATGGATTCCAGGATGAGATGTATATGAAGTATGCTGAGATGTATCAAGACAGTTGTACCAAGGCTGTCTGAGGCTAGGAACCTGATCTGCTGTCATCTTTATTACCTGAGTGGTCGTGACTACAGATAAGCCCTCAATGACAGCCCACTGACACTGAGGGTGCCTAAGGTAGACAGTGACATCCTAATAGATACATATGTCACAACTAAAAAACAGTTTCTACAATGATCCATCAGTTGCAAGTTTGGTTGCTGCCACACAATCTGATTTTATTTTCAATAGTTTTATTGAAAGATGGGACAAAGGGAAGCCACACCTTATCCTAAAGCAAACTGTATATTATTACCATCTAAGTAACACTGGTGAAAATGGTATTACAGACTGAGGAAGTAGCTCAATTGTACAGCTTTCGCCTAGCAGGCTTGAGGTCCTGGGTTCAATGCCCAGCATGAAAGAAAAAGAAAAATCAAAGAACTAACATGTAAATCCTTTAATTTCTACAGTTACATAGAAAATGTCTGAAACTATAACAACATGCCTGTTCAGTATTAAGAAATTTTAATGTAGTCAGGTGTGGTGGCACAGTCCTGTAGTCACAGCTACTCAGGAGGCTGAGAAAGGAGGACTGCAAGGTAAAGACCTGCCTAGACTCCACAGCCCCTCTAAGGAAACCTGAGCAACCTAGTGAGGCCTCATCTCACAAAAAGTAAAAAGGGCTGGGCCAAGGATGGATCAATGGTGGCATGTTGAGCACATGTGAAGACCTGGGTCTAATCCCCAGTACCACCACACATCAAAGTCATCTCTCATTGAGTTTCAGAACTTGCTTTACCCTTTTATTTAAAAAAAAATTTATTTTTAAGTGTATGGGTGTACTGATTACATGTATGTGAAAACCAAGTAAAAAACAATTTTACTTTACACTTGTTTGGTTTACTGTGGACACTGCACATCCTGGAGCTTTACACAAATGACCACATGCTCTGACAGGGACTGGGTCTCCTCTCAAATGGATCTGGTTTCTCTGAAGAAATACAAAGGAGTCTTGTTTTTTAAAATTTTATATATAGGGTTTCTTTTTTTTATTACAAATTCATTTAAATCACTTTGGACCCAGCATGTCCTTAGGTTTCACCCACTCATCAAACTGCTCTGCTGTGAGGTAGCCAAGTTCAATAGCTGTTTCCTTTAAGTTTGATCCTTTCTTGTGTGCAGTCTTGGCAATCTTTGCTGCCTTGTCATAGCCTAAAGGGAAAATTGAGAACAAATATTAAGAGGGGTATTTTTCCAAAACAAAGGCAATTATCACTGCTAACTTGATATTGACGCTCGGAACCTCTTACATGACAATATTCCACTTTCAAAGATATGTAAGAGTAAATACATTAATAACTGTCATTTCTTATATAGAACACAAACAACCTTGGTTTTCCTAAGGGAACACAGACTTAAACATACCTCATTTTCTGCAAGATTGGTTCTTAAGTTGAAAATGCTCAGTAATCCAAACACTTTCACAGAGAAATAAAAATTTTAAAATATAGCACTAAGATATAAAAATTCACACCTGGGTGTACTGTTCAAACAACCAACATGCTTAATCAGTAATAACTATATTTCTAAGGAAGCACTAAGCACTCAGATGCTGAGAACAGGTGGCTGTGGGGACCAGGAGGGGGGCCCTCCTCGTGAGTGGAGAGCAGCCAGACTGAGGACAGTCTTCCCTAAGGCTGCTTCCCACAGTCCTCTCTTCTGGACTCTCATCACAATGGCTGCCATTTCCTGGTTCTGCTGGACATTACAAGGCCAGGGAGGGAAAGTTTTAGCAGATATACTTAGATAACAGGTCACAGGGAACCCAGACAGGGTGGTACACACTTATAATCCCAGCACTCAGGAAGCTGAGGCAGAAAGGTCACGAGTCCCAGGCCAGTCCCTGACTCAAAAACAAAGCAAAAGACCACAGACCATGAGCATATGGCTTACTTCAGAGTTACCTACTTTTTAAATAAAGGTTGGCACTGGGCAGCTTTTAAGGTTGTTTTGATTAAAAAAAAAAAATGTCAGAAAGTGGACAATGAAGCTGAGGAGGGAAGACTCAAGACCAAAGCTTGGGAGGCTGCTGAGGCAGGAAGATCATCGGCCAACAAGGCCTAAGAACATCAGTCAACAGGGCATTACGTGTCTGTGTGCAACAATAAACTAGCTACAGCCACATTGGGCCCACCTGACTTCATTATTCAGCTGAATCTGTGAATTTTAATATGCTGAAAAGGATGTATAGTAACCAGAGTTTTCTGAAAGAATTCTCACATTAAACTTTCGGGCCAACCTGTCTTTTGTACTGTAATGTGAATGATGACGTTAAATGTAAACATCTATGCCCATCCTATTTCCTTCAAGTTCCACAAACACTATGAACAACTAACTAGTCTGCTGGGTCCGGGCACAGAGGAACCCAGGATCTAGAAGCTTGGGCAGCTAGGGAGGTGGTTCGGGCCCACGTCATGAGGCACCACCTTGGGTAGATCTTACCTCACACTGACTCCAAGACAAATCTGCCAGTTACCCTGCCTAGAGAGTATCTCTAATTAGAAGTTTTGGCACATGTAAAGATCTGATGGAAATATTTCTCAAGTGAACCTTTGGGGTCCCCTTTGTACCTTTCCAGCTGAATATTCATGTGTAATGATTTTAAATGAATTGGACCAGTATTAGCATCCTCGACAGTATACCAGAAAACAGGTATAGCATTGAGTCTAGAGCTACCTAAAGATGAAAAGCTCCAACTTTGTAAAATTGAAAAACCAAGAATAAAATCTGCCAAGAAATTCAGGCTTACAGAATGCCACTACTGTAACTGTTTCATGCCAAGTGACGGCACTGTAACTTATTCTGAAACAGAAAAACCAAAGAAATCAATTCGGCAGAGGGAAGAGCACAAAGAAACCAGATGACTGTCTCAAAGCCTAGACAGCTAGAATAGCCTCCTTGATCACTGTGGTCAGCCTATAATCCAAGTCTGTACAAGCAAAGAGTTACAGTTCTGGAAAAGACTTGGAACACAAGAGCATGCTTTTAGACAAAAGATTTACATTTCCCTCCCTTTCCCTATAAGCAACAAATATGTTGCCTTTCTCTTTTAATTAATCACATCCAGTATCTGAATCGGATTAACAAAACCAAGGAAAGACAGACACAAATGGTAATCCAGTGGCGCCACCTAGTGACATTACCACCTGAGGGTGTTATAACCTCCCCAGGTGTTTGCATGCAACATTTAACATCGGGCTCCATTAATACTACAAAGGGGGACCTGATGACCTGGGTTAGATTACCAAAATCCACATGATGGAAGGAGACAACTGACTATTGCAAATTTTTCTCCGGCTTCCACGGACATCCCATAGGACACATACGTGTACAGAAATAAATGTAATAAAATTTAATTTTTTTAAAAAAAGAAGAGTTCAGTCATTCTAGGCATATATACGCACGAGATCCTGTCCCCCAAAAAGTCAGGTGAAACTTCTGGGACAACAAGATGGCTCAGTGGGTAAAGGTGCTAACTACCAAGCCTGAGAACCTGAGTTTGATCCCCAGGACCCACATGGAGGAATCAGAGCCCCCCAACCCCAAGCACATGTGCACCTCAGCACAACCCTGGTCCCCAACATCCACACACAATAAATAACATATATATTTTTAAATTTTAAGGTTTTCTTTTTTTTTTTAACATTTTATGTATAAGCGTGTTTTGCCTGCATGTATGTAAGCATATCATGTGTGTGCAATGGCCACAAAAACCAGAAGAGGACATCGAATCTCCTGGAACTGAAGTTATGAACAGTTGTTAGCTACCACATAGGTGCTGGGAACCAAACCTGAGTCCTCTGGAAGAGCAGTCAGAGCTCTTAACTGTTGAATATCTCTCCAGTCCCTGTCTCCACCCCTGTACCTTCTCTTACTTTAAAATTTTGTATTCAAAATGACATTACTCCTGAACCTTACCTATATGAGGATTAAGAGCGGTCACCAACATTAGAGACTCGTTCATTAGCTTGTTGATCCTTTCTGTGTTGGCCTGGATCCCCACCACACAGTTTTCTGTGAAGGAAACAGAAGCATCCCCCAGCAGCCTGGCGGAGTGTAACACGTTCTTAATCTGTCAGAGAGAGGAAGACGAAGGGAGAATGATAGCTGAGGCCATGTTTGTTTTGTTTTCTTTGGTCCAATGACATCTACCTTTGCTGCTTCACACTGGATATACAAGTTGACAAGCCATGCAGCACTATACCCAAAGACCAACAAGAAAGACATTATGAGCTAAGGAAACAAAGCTACAAACCTAAAAATGACAGAAAAGACATAAAAGGAAATAATACAGGAAAGCCCATGGTGAAGAGCAAAAGAGGGACATGGAGCGTGGCAGCCACAGTCAAAGAGGAGTCCACTCCGCTGGAGAACTGGGGAGCCCTACATGTTGGAGAGCTGGACAGCCAGAGGGACAAGAATATGGGGGGGATGGGGGGGCTAAGGGGCAGAGGCCAGGACCTTCACAGGTGCTTGTCACAGTTGCTAAATTTTAGAATCTCCAGTTTTAGGCTTTAGGAACAAATATTCTACAGTTACTTTAAAATAACATCACACAATGTATAAAGTCAGTTGGTAGGTTTGGGCATTTGTTTCTACAGAGCAGTATTTTCTATACATGCCTTTGGTCTAAAATCCCAGGAGGGTCTAGAAACTTCCACCAATGAATTCTAACAGAAGAAACTAGAGGCTAAAGTTTGGTTTGATTCTAATGTCTTTACTGTAAGGCAACTATCTTGATTTTAGTTAAAAATTTTTCTCACTTAGGCGTATTTTCACCCTCTTCTTCCTCCCTCTCCCCAGGCTTGGCTTCATTAGTCTGGCTTCTTCCAGATGCTGTGGAAACAATGTGTCCACTCATCTGTTCTTCCTTCATCTTTCCACAATAAATGATAAAAGCCAACAATCAACAGTCTCTATACACTTGTACATGTCAGTCAGCTGGTGTTAACTGTTCGGAAATGGCCTTTAGGCAAAAGAATACAGATCTGAAGTCTAATTCGGCCTGTCTTACCTACCAGTACTAACACAGTACACACTCCATGAAGGAGGGAAAAAACAAAGAACAAAGAACCAAATCCCAAACCTTGTCTCGTACAGTGGAACAGAATGAATATAGTTCTTATCAGGCAACTGCACATTCTTACCAAATTATCCTGCATCCTATACCAGCAGAAATAAGCCTCCGGTGTGTTTCTGATAGAAGGACTAAGCCGAGGCACAGCTTCCCTGTCTGAAGTTCAGGGACCTGCACACAAGATGACACTACCTTGTTCCATCGTTGCAGTGATGAAGGAAAAAGAAGTGTGGTGACACTGAATGTTTCCGAGGTACGTGGAAAAGGCAAAGGGGCACTAAGGAGCGGGGCAGAGAGAGCTGAAGAAAAGGAGGGACGGCCAGTGTCAGTTAAGAGAACGGGATGCCCACTGGATGGAAAAGGTCACTGATGATGGAGAACAATGCAGACACAGGTGGAGGGGCTGAGGCTGGACTACAGTAATCAGGTCATAAAGGGACAGGCTGGTCTTCCCAGACCAAATCTGAAGGAAGCAGGTGCCAACGAAGCCAGGAGACCGAGTTGTAAAGGAGTCGTATTTTCTAAACTGAGGAGACCTGAACTGCTTTCCAGCTACTGGCATCCCCAGTGGCAGGGACAAAGAAGAAACCCGTCTTCCGGGTTTCTTTTTTCCTACCCAAGAAAGCAACCCATCAAAACACCTGCACTAAATGACTAAATTCCAATATCCAGGATTATTCCTCTAACAAAACCATAAACTTGACTTTTGACTGCTATGTAAGCCACACAATCACCTACTGTGGAAGCTGCAGAAACCTTCATTAAAGACAACAGTGATGATTAGTTTTCAATTGAAACATGCTAAAAATCCAATTTAAACCTTACCATCATTGGTTTAAAAACATTCAACTCAAAATGTCCATTGCTGCCTCCAACAGTAACGGCCACGTGATTCCCCATGACTTGGGCTGCAACCATGGTCATCGCTTCACACTGAGTAGGGTTCACCTTGCCTTGGAGAAAAACCGGTGGCAGAATCTCATCACACATGCAGTTTTACATCAGCAGTCAAAGAAATCTGCTCTTATCCAATTAAGACGTACACTAAAGCGTGGTTGACTGAAGGAAACAAACCAATCAAAGATCCTGGTTTGGTGGTACAGGCTGCAATTCTAGCTATTCAGGAGGTACAGGCAGGAGGATTCCAAGTTCAAGGACTTTCTGAGCTTCAGAAGTTCAAGGCGAGCCTAGGCAATTGGGTGAGACCTCTCTCACAATAAAGTCTAAAGAGTGCTGAAGATACAGCTTAATGGTAGAGCACCTGCCTAGCATGAGCGAGGCTTTAGTTCCATCTCCAATATCATACACGCATGTGCACACATATACACACACACACACAAAGACAAAAGACAACCAAAAAGGTGTAGCCACACAGACTCACTCAGTGAGTAACCAGTAAGATCCCCATCTATATACAGTTCCCCGTCTTTCTGGCTTTTATTCCTGTGTATGTGCTTAGGCAACCAGGCACTAAATATATAATCAGAAGGACATAGACTACCCTTCCAGGGTCTGGCAGCCAAGAAAAGCACTGGCAATTTCAATAAATAGGGGTACACACAGAGAAGCACAAGCTCCTAAGGGGAGGCTTCCTGCTAAGCCGGAACTCTATTTACCACTAAGTTTCCAGAGCTCCACCTCCCAGCACCGCTCTTCTGACAAGACCAAACTGGAACCAAGCATGGTGGATTCCTCCAGCCAGTGTAAGGTAGCATACTGGGAGGCATACCTCCTTTATCTGGGATGGTCTCTCATTGTTTTTTTTCTTTTGGAGACAGGATCTCACTAAGTAGCCTCATCTGCTCTAGAATACCATATGCAGCCATGGCCTTGAACTCATATAATCTTCCTGCCTCAGCTCCCCAAGAACTAGGATTATGGTCATGTGCCACTACACTTGGCTCCATTTCTCTTTTTTTAAAAAAACTGACTTATTTTTATGTGCATGAGTGTGTTACATTCATGTATACATGTGCACCACAGGAGTGCAGTGCCCACAGAGGACAGAAGAGGGCATTAGACGGCCTGGAACTAGAGTAACAGACAGTTAGTTATACTGCCATGTCGAGCTAGGAACAGAAACCAGGCCCTCCATAAGATCAGTGAGTGCTCTTAACCACTGAGCCATTTCTCCAGGCCCTTCACTTTTTAACGTATTTTCAGTTTACAATCAACTAAATCTGTATGTCATTTTTCAACACAAAATACTTAAATCAAGATCTCTTATTCTAGGCATATCCAGATTTAAAAACCCAGTGAAGGCTTTCTCTCTCACTATTAAAATTCACTTTTTCAGTTTTAGTACAGTTCTATTGGTCTACAGAGGCCTTTGTGACTCTCGATTCTGTTGTATGACATATGCCAATTTCCTATCTAATATGACTAATTTCCTATCTAATCTGTCTTTACCAGTAAAATGCTGAGTGGGTAGAACACGGTATCAGGATATTTGTCTGAAGTCAAGTCAACTCATTAGTCACTCCTTAAACGTCTATTCACACAACTACATTCATTTCCCCCATTGAAACCAGTGAGTATCGTGTCTACTGAACAACCTGGAGAAATCCAGGCTCCGGCACCTTGCTACTTCTCATACTTAGGCCCAGAACCCAAGGCAAAACATGAAATAAGTTTGGAACGACTCAGACTTATTCAACCCGCTGCTCACTTTCACAGCCTACTCTAGAATTCTCGTGGCTCCAGACTGTGAAGGCTCCAACATGTGTGCTAATGTGGGAATCAAAACAGATGGGCAGCACATGCTGCTGATTCAGAGTCTTCTTTCCTGACTGGCTGTGATATTTCTATCAGCCCTGCTTCACGCTGGTGCACGTGGACACTGAGGAGCACAAACATATTCCTCAAATGTCCCCAACTGCTTTGGGGATCACAGGGGACATGTTCTGTGGTTGAGAATGCCTATGATCTAGTCAAAGTCCAACTCCTAGCATTGATTGCCTACATGATTACCTGGCATGATACTGCTCCCTGGTTCGTTCTCTGGCAAGATCAGTTCTCCCAGACCTGACCGAGGACCAGAACCCAGAAAACGAATGTCATTTGCTATCTTCATCAGACTGCAGGCTGTGGTGTTCATGGCTCCACTGAGTTCAACCAGAGCATCGTGAGCAGCAAGAGCTTCAAACTTATTTGGAGCAGTGACAAAAGGCAAGCCTGAAAGAAAGAGACACAACCTCTGTGGGGGACAGGGAAGACTGAGCACATCTGCCTACTCAGCAAGTTGAACAGAAAAGTTCCAGTATACATAAAGCAAAACAGAACAGGCTGGCTATGTGATTCAGCGATGTAATGCCTGCCTATGTGTGCAAGGTGCTGAGCTCAATTCCTAGTACTACAAACTATTCATAAATAAGGTAAATAAGCACAAACTCTTAGTTCGGGAAAAATGCTTAAGAATTAAGCCATGATGATATTTAAGGAGTCCCAAAGGACTTCTGAATGCTACCCTATAATAAACACACGGGTAAAATGTCTGACTACTTGTAAAATGTCTGACTACTTGAGCAAAGATGAAACCTGTGGCATTCACTCTGCTTTTGTCCACTCCTGTCCTGTACAAAACTTTTAAGTCCTTTGCCCACTCCACCCCGTTCTACTTGTTCCTCTCACCAAGGGTCACAAAAATCCTAGAAAAAGGAGCAAAATGAGCTACAAAGTCTCAATCGATCTTGCCCATGGGCAACAATTTTTAAATCTATGTATTCTAAGTCCTAAGAATATAGTTCTTTTGTATTAAAATATGAGTTTTAAAAAATCAGCTAGAAGGGCTGCAGAGATGGCACAGCAGTTAAGAGCACTGGCCACTCTTGAAGAGGATGGGGGTCTGGTTCCCAGCACCCACAATGGCAGCTAACAACCATCCTCAACTCCAGTTCCAGAGGATCCAGTGCCCTCTTCTGATAGCCATAGGCATTGCATTCATGACATGGTGTACTTACATACATGCAGGCAAAACTCTCAAACATACAAAATAAAAATAAAAAAATAAACAAAAATCAGCTAGAGAATAAGTTAACTGTGAGTGCTCTGCAGTGAAGGGACATGGAACTCCAGCCCTACCACCACACACACAAGGCTCAGGTAACATCTCAGAAGAGGGGGCAGAAATAATAAGAGCTGGAGGATGGAGAAGGTTCTGTGAAATGCTGTCCTCTGTATATGACATGAACTCACAGCAGCTGTGGTTATCTGTTTTACTGTGGACTCCCTTCTTTCCTTCCTTTTTCCTCTCTTTTTTTTCTTTCTCTTTTTCTTGTTTGGTTTTCAGACAGAGTCACCCTGTAGCCCAACTGATCTGGAACTTGCTACGTAGACTAGGCTGGTCCTGATCTCACAGTGATCCATCTGCCTCTGCCTCCTGAGATTAAAGGTGTACACCACCACCACCACCACACTCAGCCCAGCTATGGTTATCTGAGTAAGACCTGCATAAGTTTAAGCCAGTTAAAAATTCCAGCATGGATCGAGGGAAGGGCTCCCAAGGCCCCACCTCTAGCTGAGGAGCTATCAGCAGCTGATGGCCTCTGTGGAAGGGAGTCACTCTTCTCTGTGGGGTGGCTCCCAGTAGGTTATGTACACACCAGTGGATGACCCCACACCTGTGCATGTACTGGTAGCACTAAGCAGACTCAGTGGGTAATAAAAATAAAAGAGGACATGAAATTTGGAGGCAGGCATGCTGGGGGCCTAGAGGAGGGAGTGGGAAGGAGGGAGCAATATAATCAAGATACACTATATACATGTATGAAAGTTTTAAAAAAAAATTGATGTTTTCAAAATCAGCTAGTAGGCTACAATATGCATTGTGTAATAATCTTGACCTAACCTTCTGTAGCATCAACACTTTAATCACGTTTTCTAGACACAATGAGCTGGCTCAAACAACAATAATAGCAATCGCTACTCAGACCATTGTACCCTACTTGTGGGAAGACAAGATTTCAAAATGTTAACACAAATAGATCACAAAGCATGACACAGGGAAAATGTATGTTTACAACACACTTGTCATCTGCTAAGTTTCTCAACAGTAAATTTGTTTGCCTTCTTTGGAAAATACTTCAAAACAGCTTTGAAGGGGGACCACCTGAATACTATCAGACAACAAATAAAGCTACCAGGTAAGTTTTAATTGCATGCCCATTGCAATCTTATATGGAAAGCTTTAAAAAGCAAAAGGATTAATTTATTAACTTCTGAAATGGTCACAAGCCACATTTGGTGGGAAAATATCACTCCTAAATTACAGAATTCAACACAGAAACATCTAGAAACAGGCAAGCCAGTATGAGGAAGAGTGAGCAATAATTCATGTGGTCACCAACCTGTGAGTGAGGCCACTTTTGCAGCAACCTTTTCTGCAAAGCCAATTCTAGTGTTTAACCCGGTGCCGACAGCAGTGCCTCCAGCTGCGAGCTCGTAGATTCTCGGCATGGCAGCTTTAATTCGCGCCATCGCATACTGTACTTGTTGAACATAACCACTGAACTCCTGAAAAAGGAAAATTACAATAAGAACACATTTCCTAATGGCTTACAAGTTACTCTAATGGCATTAAGTACAAGCTTTTAAAAACGCATTTCGGAATACTAAATCATATGCTACTCAAGTGGTATTTATGCTGTTAATTCACATGATAAAGTGAGGGAACCCGGGAAGGTCTATAAACCCACAAGGCAGGACAGTGCAACTAGCAGCATGCAGTTTAGTTTGTTTATTGTTTTAATAGAAAGCAAAGAACAACATATGAAATAAATGGCTTTTTTAAAACAGGGTCTTACTATGTAATCCCACTACTCAGGAGGCAGTCAGGAGGATCTCTGTGAGTTCAAGGCCAGCCTGGTCTACATAGTGAGTTCCAGGACAGCTGGGGCTACAGGGAGACCCTGTCTCAAAAAGACCAAAAAAAAAAAAAAAAACCACAAAAAACCTGAGCAGCAACCTGAGGATACCTCACAGGGACTGGAGAAGCAAAGTGATTCACAATACAAGGAGGCAAGAGGAGGAGGACCACAGCTTCGCTGTGCATGTTAATACTATCAACGTCTCCCTGGTTCCCAGTGTGATACAACCACACAGTCTATCATGTTTGAGCATTGAAAGGAGCATTAATAATTACTCAAGGACAAAACCCTTATGCCTTCTGCATTTTATAATGGACCTTATCTGGGTAAGCCAACATACAATAATAATAAATCTTTTCTCCTGCCTGAAAACACTAAAAATCTATGAATACTTCTGACTAGAATTAGGATTTTGTTATATTCTAAAGAAAAAATTTTGAAAGGTATTATATCTGATTTGCCCAATGTTAAATCAAGTGTTCTTTTCTACTCAAAGAATTTCACTTTATGAGATATGAAAGTCATTCACACAAAGTTACACACACACACACACACACACACACACACACACACACACACAACCTAGCTGCATGCACTTACAGGATGCATTTTTAATTGAGGAAAACTGAAAAAAATTGAAGACAACTGCAATAAAAGCAAATACACTATTTCTAATCACGTGAAAAAGGAAACAATGTTTCTCACACTACACAGAATGATGATTTCACATAGGAAACTCAGTTCTGGCTCAAATTGTCTTTAGCATGGTGGTTTTCAATGTAACACACATACATACAAGAAGGCAAAAATTAGAAACCAGGGGAACAATAGATTGAAACACACACAGTTCTTCACTGTTCCTCCTTAGAAATTATGCACAGTACAGAGAGCCAACGATGCAGGGAAAAGGCCTGTAAGAGGCAACTACTCCAGCGGGCTCAATTTAGCTCCATCACTGGTTTTTAACTAAGCCTTTGCAGTGTTCCTCATTCGTTCTGTAATAAAATTGCGCTAAATAATCAAGTTTTATTTGGTGTTTTCCATCATCTACACAGAACTGAGATTCTGTCCAAGGAAGTGGAAGCCAAGTTCTCACCCTCACCTGTTGCCATGAGACTATTGCTTGATATGGCTATCACTTGATGCATAAATTGTACATATTCTACCTCCCAAAATGTAGCATGAGCTGAGACAAAAATTGCTTCATGAATTTCCTTGTTTCTTTGCAATGCACATTACTAGATATCCCTTAAGTTATTGATACAGAACATAAAAATATCTTCTGACATGTAAGAGAAAATAATCTCTTTTGTATGTGGTCAAGATAATTTTAAAAAGATCTGCCTCACTTAATTACTTTTAAAAATTAGCTTTAATTAAATAACCTCCCAATATAGAGTAAGAGAGACAGATGAAGCAATCGTGATGGTCGGTTGATGAAGACAAAGATGACGATGACCACTCATGTGTCTTCCATGTGCCAGGCATGACTTCAGGCACTCTGCTTAGTCAGCGTGTGAGTGCCTCACAACCATGCAGTCTCCTTATTCTGTAACTCAGAAAACTGAGGCACAGCAAACCAAAATAACTTTCCTGAAGTCACATAACTGGCATACAGCAAAGACTAGAACCCTCAGCAGTCCAATCAGTCTGGCTCACTGACCGTATGCTATGTTCCTAAGTGGACACCATAAAAATTATTAGCTGGTTGTGACGGCTAATCCTGGTTGTCAACTTGACTGGACATGGAATTAACAGAAATGACTTACTTGATTGGATCATTTGAAGATGGAAGACCCATCCTAAATGTGGGCGTTGCCTCTTAATGGCAGCCCTGCATAAAGGAACCCTCAAACAGGGAATTTCCTCCATTGAACTGGCCTCTGGCCCTGTCTGTGGGGCATTTTCTTGATTACTGAGTGATGTGGAAGGGTCCAGCCCACTATGGGCAGTGCCATCACTGGGCAGATGATGCTGTGTTGTATAAGAAAGCAGGCTGAGCACAGGCCAAGGGAGCAACTCAGTAAGCAGCGTTCCTCCATGGCCTGTGGTTCAGATGTAAGCCAAATAAATCCTTTCCTCCCCAAGTTGGTATTGGTCAACATTTGTTTTGTCACAGCAATACAGAAGCTAAGATACTAGTTAATTCAGAAAATCACTAAATGTAGTTGTTATAAACTATTTTGAGGGTGAAATATTAATTTGTATCAATTCCTAAATTGAATAAAATTAGTCCAACTCCTGTACCTGCCCAAGAGTAAGCGGAACAGCATCCTGCGTGTGAGTCCGCCCGATTTTGATGACCTGTGCAAACTCTTTGGATTTTGTACTGAGAGCATCGTGCAGCTTCTGCAGTCCTGGTAACAGAACTTCATTAACTTCCATTGCAGCAGCGATGTGCATTGCTGTAGGGAAAGTATCATTGGAGCTCTATGGGAAATTTTCAAAAGAAGAATAAAGTGTTAAGGCAGAGGTAAAGAAAAACTTGACTACTTCAAAAACACTCACTAAACTATTTAAAACTCAGTGTATACAGTACTCAATACATTTATGTATGGAAAGTAATAGGTCACGTGGTCAAGTAAAAAGTAATCTGGTTTCCTGTATGAAACATATTAGGACAATATCACATACAAAGATATGGAACATAATACATATTATGACAAAGCCTACTAAATCCATTACATATTGCAGATGCTCCCTAGTAAGAGACAGCAAAACATGGGCGTTAGCAAGCACATCTGAACGCGGCAATACATATCTTACAATGCATTCACTATTTCAAAAACCACTTATTTATTAAACCTGAGGAAAATTCTGTAAAGTAGAAAGCCAAAAGCCAAGCACTCAAAAAGATAATGGGACTTGCCAAAGTATCTAGAACTTGTGAAGCCAGGCCTGATCAGGAAGTGTACACTTGGTACACTGTTGGCTCTGTGCTTTTAAGGTGTGATATAATTTAAAAAGACACATTCCCTGTTCATGTATTTCAATTGCTTACTATTGAAAATATCAAAGCAGTTACAAAGCAGAATGGGCAGTCCAATGACCACTCATGTATCTATCACCTAAATTTAATCATCAACATTATCCAATCTTGTGTCACCTGTCACCATCCTGCTCCCTCATCCTACACCACAGTATTATTCTGAAGATTTTAGACTATACTATAAAAAAAACATATTCAAAAGCTTTAAAAAATCCTTTATACAATGAATATAAAAAGGTTTGCTTTTAATACTTAAAAATACACTAAGGTAGACCTAACACTCAGATTCTGGTCTCCTTGAAGAATGACTGCTTCTAGGGCCAGAGCAGAAAGGATATGCCTTCACAGAGAAAAGAAAAAGACAGAAGCAGACCTCCAAGACACAAAAGTTAGCTGAGTAGGGCTCCCCAAACTGAGACCATCAAAATGACAATATGAATAAAGGAAACTGGGTGATAACTGAAAGAGTAACAATCAACCACAAATTTATAGTGACATACATGACCAATTAAAGAAAGAAATTCAGGAGAATAAAGCTTCCTTACAGAAAAATTTCACTTAATGTAAAAAGGGAAACAGGAAATCATTGAAACAGCATAGCAGTGGGCAGGTGGAACTCAGTGGCAGAACACCTGCCTAGCAAACGGAGGCCTCAGATTCCATCCCCAGCACCACAGACAGCCAAAACACATCATAAAACAAAACAACAGCAAAATACCACAGCAGTAATTACTATAGGTAAGAGCCATAGATAAATGCTTTCTCTGTTTTAAGGAGAAACATTATTTTCATAGTCTCAAAGTAACTCTGCAAATTCTGTGGTGATTCTAACACACATCCAAGAGTTTTTGATAGAACCGAAGCTCAAGCCAGGAATGGAGGCAAAACAGTGACAAATATGGCACAGATGACAACAGTAACTAACGAATGCCCTCAGAAAAGATGTGTCCTTATGAAGGAGACCCAGCTCCCTTGCCCCCTCCCCTACAGAAGGACAGCTTGCTAGGAAAAAGCCCTCTCCAAACACCAAATCTGCCTGTTACAGTTTTGTTATAGAAGCCTCAAGGAACAGAGACCAAGAAACCATCACAGATTAGAAATACAAAGAAGACATGACTAAACTCAATGTGCAGGCTGGACTGGATCCTCGAAGAAAAAGGACATCTCTGGAAAACTGAGGAAATCCTAAAAAGAATCCTATTGTTCATTTATGTCCTAAAAGTGATTTTTATGACATTTGAAACAAAGTCAAGATTCCTGAAAGAAATACGAAACTTCAAAGTCTTCTTTCCACTGAGGAACATAAGCTAAATAAACCGCCCTTGTCAAAAAACTGTACACTGGCCTTTCAAGAGCAAGCTCCAGGATGCTTCTCAATGTGCACTGGTTACAGGAGAGAACACGGGCTTTTACTAAGGTGCTCACTGGTTATAGGAGACAACACACACCGACCTGGCTTTTATTAACGTGATCATTGGGGTGCACTGGTTTCTTACTGCCAAGTTCCCCGCCTAACATTTCAATGGCTCTGTTGCTGATGACTTCATTCACATTCATATTTGTCTGGGTTCCTGATCCAGTCTGCCACACCACAAGAGGAAAATGATCATTCAATTTACCTTCAGCTACCTGTGGAGAAGAAAACGTCTTAAGTATCTTTAAAATAAGAAATATCAGGTATCTATTTAGCTATTTTAATCAACCATGATTAAGTAAAGTTCCATTTATAAAATTATTGTTGATTGTTTCATATAGTTCACAATTGTAAATTTCTGTAGCATCACTTTTTTCAATCACAGATACTAAGTGAAATATTACATATTCTGAAAGGTATGAGCGTTCACCGGCTTCCGATGAACACTGAATGAAAGCTGTCTTTATCTTTCCCCACTGACTCCTCTGATAGAGGACCACCTAAGCAGGCAAAGGCGTTGTCTTAGGCACATTTATTGTTGCTCAGCAGAAACCACCAACAGATGTTCTTGCCACAGTTGGCATGATACAGAAGCAGGAGCTCAACTGTGAGCTCACTGCCAGCCATGTCAAGCACAGATGTCCAAGAGTAGCTGCCAAGCTCAGAAAATAGGCACTGCCGGGTCCCCCCTAGTTCTGTCAGATTTTGTTTCTTGATTTATTATTACTCGTGTGTGTATGTATCTCTGTGTGTGTAAGTCAGAGAACAACTTTGTGGAGCTCTTTCTCTCTTTCTATCATTACAAGAATTCTGGAAAATCACACTCAGGTAGCCAGGCTGGTGCGGCAAGCACCTGTACCCACCGAGTTATCTCACCAGCCCTCTGTCAGATTTTGTATGAAGTTTCCGTGTTAGTTTTTAAGCTGTAAGCTTACAAAAGGGCAGGCACTTAACTTCATTCTGAAATGGTTTTAACTTAAACAGAATGCATTTGAGAAGTCTACTAACTTGAGGAACTGTTCACTTTCTAGGTCTGATAATATAGGTGATGAGACAGAAAATGGTAACTGCCATGTAGATCCAGTGCTCAGACCACTTGCTTGTCAGCGTCTCTTCCAGTTTCTCTCCCCTGCAATGGGGGAGGGCAATGGCCCTCCGTCTCTGAGTTCCCCCTTCAGATTCAACCAACCACAGAACAAAAATATTTTAAGAAAAACTAAAAAACAAAACTGCAATTGTACCAAATATGTACAATTGTACCAATATGTAGATTTTGTTTTTGTTTTTTTTGTTTGTCATACTGCCTAAACAAAAGAGCTTAACAATTCTTTGGGTGGCATTTATATTGTATTAGCTACCATAAGTAAGCAAGAAATAATTTAAAATACATGGGAGGATGTGCACAGGATCTATAAATATTACACCAATGAACTTAAGCATCTGTGGATTCTGGCATCCAATGCAGGGTGGGGAGTTACATGTATGTACATATGAAAACACACATCTTCTGTTGACTTTCTTTTTCTAAACAGCCATTACGCGAGCATGCCCCCCACGTCCTACCTCATCTGCTGCCTTCATTATTGCACTAGCAATCTTTGGATCAAGACCATAATCCTGGTTTACTTCAGCGGCAGCTCGCTTCAAAATGCCAAAGGCTTTAATAACAGGGATCTAAAATCAATCAGAAAAATTCCTTAAATTTGCAGTGTTAGATAAGCATAAAAGTTGTATTATAAAAATGCAAAACTGTTGGTAAAACAGTAACAGCACTGTGGTCTCTCAAAAGTTTAGAATACAGAGAAAAATTATGTTAAGTGTATAGCGAACCAAGCAAAATCCTGAGGCTTCATATACATGTATGCATATGTACGTCTAAAACATACATATGCACATGGACATACTCATACAGCTACGAATCCAGTAACCATACTTCATGTAATAAATTATAAAGTATACATGTTTATTTCACACAGTACTTTTTTTTTTTTTCTTCGTCTTTTTGAGACAAGGTCTTCCTATAGCCACAGCTGGCCTGGATTCACTATGGAAACCAGGCTAGCCTTGAATCCGCCTGCCCCTGCCTGGGATTAAAGGCATGTGCCACGACCCCCAGCTCATACAGTAAATATTTTAAGTAAATGATATTCAATCATTTCCCAGCAAGAGTCATTCTTTCCTATCACTGGATCCCATGCTTCATTATTTTAAACTCCACAACAAAAACAACAAAGAGCAGGGCATGGTGGCCCATGAGAAGCTGAGGGATGGTGGGTTTGAAGCTAGCCTGTGCCACGGTTAGACTGTCTCAAAAGAAAAAAGAAAGATCAGTGACATATTTAACTTCTAATCACTTATGATACTCAGTTGCTGATTGGCTACTGTTTTACCCCAATGTCTTAAAACTAAAAGTCTCATGAGTAAACACTTGACACTTAGTAAGCCACAAAATTTCTCTCACTTTTTAAAATATAAGGTTCTATAGACTTAGTAATTTACTAACTTCTGATATAATATATTCATTTCTTAGTATGCAAATATTTTTATTTTCTAAACCAAAACACCTCACCACAGTTTAAAAGGATAAATCAAGTAACTTTTGATGAGATTTCAATTTAATAACAACTTGGCTTTTGTCAAACAAGTGAATTATGAGTTTTTGTCAAAATCAGTAATAGAGAATGAGGCACAGATCTTGCACAAAGAGAAGGAAGAAAACAAAGAATTTATAAAACAAAAGCTACACTTCTCAGAGAGGATCAAAATGGAAAACAAACAAACAAAAACCACAGAAAAGAAAGGAAGAGGTACTTAACCCACAAACCCAGATAAAAGTGTGTACAGGCTAAGGGACAACTGAAAACACAATTTATATTTTGAATTTTAAGTAATTAAAATTAAAGTGTCGTCTTCAAATAAAATGAAGGCAAATGACACCTAACTGAAAAGAAAACACAATTTATATTTTGAATTTTAAGTAATTAAAATTAAAGTGTTTTCTTCAAATAAAATGAAGGCAAATGACACACAGGACTAGAAACTAGAAGGTTCTTTCCTTTGCTGCTGTTTTGAGACAGGATCTCACTATCTAAGCCAGGCTGGCCTGAACACCTAGGTAGTTCATGCTGGCCTCAAACTTTGCTACCTTCCTGCCTCAGGACCCCAAGTGCTGGGATTACCACCGAAAGCCACCATGCTCATCTAAGAAGGTAAGAGTTTTCAACATGAAAACAACTGGAGATTTAAATTCCTACTAAAACGTACAACTTTATGACAGGTTGAACTACAACTGGGGTCCTAACCAAAGATCAAGCAGCACAACTCTGAATGGACTGACCAGCCTAGTCTTTACACACCCACTAAAATGAAAATAGTGAGAAAGTTCTGTGACACATAAAGACAGAACAGCACTGGGTCTCACTGAGGAGAAAGGATTGTCAGTCCTTTTTTTAATTTTTATTTTTATTTTATGTCTATGAGTGCATTGCCTGCCTGTGTGTATGTAAATGTACCTGTGTCGTGCAATGTCCATGGAGGTCAGAAGAAGGTGTCCCCTGGAACTGGTGTTATGAGCAGTTGTCAGTCACCTTGCGGGTACTGGGAACTGAACTCAGGTCCTCTGCAAGAACAACCAATGCTCTTAACCACAGCCATCTCTCCAGCCTGGATTGTGATCGTCTTAACTTACTCACATTACAAGTTCAGTCTCATCACCCTTGTGCCCTCTCACTAAGTTCAAGTGTAGAAGTTCAGAATGGTTTGGGCTGTTATTTTCCTTTGGACCTCAGGTACAAAAAGCTGGGTTTAATCATACTAAGCTCAGGGCACACAGCCTTTTTCCCATTTAACAAAACTCGGGCTAGTAATAGAGATGAAGTCAAGTGTGATGAAACAGAGAGCCTGAGTGTCACTTTTCAGGGGCATGGCTGGGCTCTGGAGCAGCCAGGCTTCCTCAGAGTCACACAACTTGCTGGTTGAGGCAGACAAACACAAGTCAGGCTCATGCCCACCAGGTCAGCTGCGGCTCACTTCCTCATTCCCAGAAGCTGAATTAGGAGAATTATCTGGGGCTCAATCACTACCTTTTGCCATCCTAACAGGTAGTCAGACCCTATGTTCATCTCCTTGCCAAGTACATTATTGGCACACCATTAAGAGATTTTCTTTGGGAATTTTGCTGCTGTCATAAAATTCTGAAAATGAGTCAAGTCAGTATGGAGGCTTTAAAATGAGTTAAAATGTGGAACTGAAGTTACTTCAGAGAAAAAGCTTTCTGAGGAGACAACTGGTAAATAGCACCTCATGGGACACATCCCAGCTACCCCTAGGCTCGCTGCCCTACCCTGCATTCCTGCACTCGCTACTTTTCATACTCCAGCTGAACTCCAAAAGGGTAAGAAACAGATTTCACCAACTCTTTCACCTCGACATCCCTGAAATCAAGATGTATCCTACAATCAGTGGCATACCACACACCAGCTTCTTTTTCTCAGTGGTACATGTTGGTACACCTTCCAACTCAGAGTATCTCAGATTTAAGGGAATGTGGCAGAAAATTTTATTATTGTATCACTTACATGAAACTGGACCAACACTCACATTATCATATAAATACTTTGAACAATACTCTGATATATCCGTATACTTTGCTGGAAACTGAATGCATGATAGAAAGTATACAATTAAAGAAAAACCTAAGTTTTAAATCAGCACAAACAGAAAAGGAAAGATAGAAATATTTGAGTATTGAAATAAAATATGGTTCCCAACTGTGAAATCCTAGCAAAAATCTATAAACTCCCAGAAGTAAATCATTTAATTAATCACTGCTAAAAACCCCAAATATTCAAAGTTAAAGCTCAAAATAACAGCATTCTGAAACCTTAATAAGTTCTTTGACATTTTAATAATAGCTTTTTATTCACAAAACTGTTTTCTAGTAACTACATTTTAACTCTCAAATATTTAAAAAGTAATGTGATGTCTGCGAATAGAGCCTAGTTCACCCCAAACAAGCCAGCATTCGCACAAAAGCCACTTACTGGCATGCGTTCTGTTGGACCTCCGATCTTAAAGTTCATTGTAGACCTCACCGTCTGCGCACCATAGTACTTATCGGTTGGGACCTTCAGTTCACCAAAGGTATCATATTCTACACGGAAGGAATTTTGGCTTGCCTAAAACAAAAATAAGAAACTGTTTCAGCTTGAAAAAAACCAGTATCAAAGCAAACAGAACCTTATCAGCTCTGAGAAGAAATTTTGCCAAGTATTATAAAGACATAAAACTCCGTCTTAATTGCCACTCTAGTCCCATTTGCAGCTTTTTTAACATTCCTGTTTATTGATGCAGGTGTTAAAGACAGAGTGTACAAGTCACACATTACTCAAATTATAAATACAAAGGATTTTGAAATATAACAGGCCATTTCCATGTGAGGTGTAGGACTATTACTGGTTAGGATTTCAGACCTAACTTAATGTTTCTTTTTTTGGGACCTCCTGAAAACAATCTAAAGTGAACACTGAGATTTTTAAGCATCTATTTAAGCAAAGCTAAGATACAGCCTCCTATCCCTCTTAGTGAGACAGTACAACAGAGACAGTCCAGGCTAGGGGGAGACACCTGCCTCTTAGCCGTGTTGCTTCTGCAAGTCGGCTCTTCTCATCTATCAATGAAGGTGAGGTGCAGAGGAGAGATGGGCTACATCACCTCTTCATCTTTTAGGGTTATGGTACTGAAACCATTTGAGATTCTGAGGAAAGCTATGGGACATCTCTCTAGAAAAACAAACATAAACATGTACATATACTCTTCATGTGCGTTAGGGAGCTTACACCTTGAGTTTACACCTAAGCTGTCACCTAGAGGAAGATCATGGGCTCAAAGCTTCTAGTGGAGAAGCTGGGATTCTACCTTGTACATGAACTTACACCAATAAAAATTAGTAACTGCTCAACAAATATTTTATAACACTATAAAAGCCTAGCTATAAAACAGTAGATGCTTGAAATTTACATGTGATCCATTCATTAGGGCCACTTCAGAGGGATACTCAGAACTTTAATATATGCATTTTGTGAGGCCGGAGAGGTTCATGAGTAAAGTGGAGGACCCGAGTTCTGGAATTCTGATCCCCAGCACTCATACACTAGTCAGATACAGCAGCCCACAGCTGTAAGCACTATAGGATCAGAAACAAGAGGACCCCTGGGGCACTGATGGGACTGTTAGTGCAGCCCAAATGTAGGCTCCAGGTTCAGTGAGAGTCTTAAAAACAGTGGAAAGCTGCAGAGGACACCTGATGTGTCCACACAGGAAAGCACGCACGCGCGCGCACACACACACACACACACACACTCTCACACACAAAAAGCCAAGTATTCTGCATTAATAATAAACTAAACGTCATCAGATGATGTCAAAAGGATTTAAGAATTCCTGTTTTAACTGCTGGTCTTCTCCTAAGACTATATAAGGTTGTAAAAACTCTGTACTACAAAGGTTGCTTTGAAAAGAAAAATTATCACTGTCATTTACCACAGCCCCATACCTAAAGGTCCGCAGAGGGCTGGCTTAGAGCAGGGGAATCAGTGGCTAGTGCCTCATCCAACCTGAAAGAGCCCCAGGAGCTGTTCTCCAGTCCAGCCTTAAAGGGGACATTGAAAGAGCAAATACCTAGCAAATTACCCCAACAGCAAGGGAGAGGTGCGGTACAGAAACTCTGCTGTCAGTCTCCAAAAGCCATGAGGACTCACTTTCCTATCATCACTTCTTTAAGCCAAGAAACTGAGATGGCAATGGCAATTTCCAGGCAGCCCTCAAGTCCTTCACTGACACCTCCATCTTGTGAAATAAAAGGGGCCAAAGTGCAGTAAGGTTTTCTCCAGTGGAGTTCAACTACAGGGACACTACTGTTCACCAACTTGGCTCCCACACTGTACCAAATCTCAGGTTTTATCTCTGAAATGCATAAGTATTTTGTATCACAACCTTTGTTTTCAATGTCTTATAACATCTTTATGTTAAAATCCACTTTGGACCAAGTAACAAATGACAACATGTGGTGGCTTGAATGAGAAATGTCCCCCATAGGCTTAAGTATCTGAACACTTGGTCCCCAGGTGTCAGCACTGTTTGGGGCAGTCATAGAACCTTTAGGAGGTGCAGCCTTGCTGGACGAAGCACATCACTGGTGGTGGCCTTTGAGAGGTCACAGCCTCACCCCACTTCCAGTTCTCTGCTTCGCTTTCTCTGCTTCTGAAGACGTGAGCTCTCAGCTTCCAGCTCCTGCCACCATGTCTGCCACTTGTGCCAGGGCTCCCTGCCATTGAGGACTGGCCGTCTGGAACCAGAAGCCAAGATAAACTCTTCCTTCCTTGAGTTGCCTTTGCTCAACAGAAAAGTAACTAAGATACAGCAGCAGCAGCAGCACACAAGTACTAATCCAGGGAAACAGTACCTGGATACAGGGTGATTTTCACCAGTGGTTTGTGAAATCAAATTTCAGATTTTAAATTTCTATTAATCACCTGTGCTCAAAATTACCAAATTTATCATTAAACAACAATAATTTATCTCCTAAACAACACATTACTGAACATTTAAAATCAAAGTTACTTGAAGAAAATTCCTTTTAATTACATCCTTTAGCTTTAAGGACAAAGTTAATTCAAAGTCAAGTTTGATTGCTTCAGGCTGTAGCTCAACACTCAAGCACTTACTTCCCTAGCATGCAAGACACCTTTTGTTCAAGCCACAGACACAAAAGTAGGGAAGAAAGAAAAGATGGACCTAAAGAGGGGAGACGGGAGAGAAGGAAGGAGTTAGGGAGGAGGAGGGGGAGACAGGGAAGGAGGGAGGGAGGCTGAATCAAATCCTAGGATTTTGATATCCATAATCTTAAAAGTACAGGAGTGAATTGTACCTGAAATCACAATCTCAGAAGACTTCAAAAATCCACTTCTTTATAATTATTTAAAAAAAAAAAAACAAGTACGTAACAAGAACAAATACTGCCATACTCAGCTAATAAACTTCCAAAAAGCTAAGTTTCCTATCTTCAATGTCACGATAATATACTCAACCTGATAGGATCTATAATGACCAAGGAGACAGGACTCTAGGCACATCTGTGAGGGATTGTCTTGATTAGGTTAGTCTAGATGGGAGGACAACCTTAACTGTGGGCACCGTTCTGTAGGCTGAGGTCCTGGACTGATACACTCTGAGCTCCACCAGCATGCACCTCTCTGCATTCTGAGGACACAGAATGACAGCTGCCTCAGATTCCAGCTGCTAAGCCTTCCCTACACAAAGGACTGTACCTTGAACTGTGAGACCAAAACCCCTTCCTTCCTCCAGCTGCTTTTGTCAGGTATTTTGCCACAGCAGTGAGAAAAGTAACTAATACACCAGGAATTGCACAGGTTGAACAAACCTTCAAGATAAGAAGCAACACTCTCAAGTGCTCCGCAAGGCTGTGTATAACAGATGTGAAGGAGGCTGGGTGTGGTGGCACATGCCTTTAATCTCAGCCCTCAGGCAGCAGAGGCTGTTAGGCCTCTGTGAGACTGAGCCCAGCCTGGTCTACTTAGCCTATAACTATAGGCTAGCTATGGCTACAGGAAGACCCTTCCCCCCTCCATCCCACAAAAAAAGAAGTAAAAGTAAAGGGTTAAAATCTACCTGTAGCAGAAGTCAGAGTGTGTCCCACAAGGCTGGGGCAATAGAAGCCCACACAGAATGTTTCATGGAGTATGAAAAGTCTTTACATGTGCTGCAAAGATCTGAAGAAATGCAATTTTTAAAAAATGGAAGGAAAAACAGAACAGAACAAGGGATGTGTATATTTGACTTAAGATAGCACTTTGTTCAATAGAACAAAAAATTAGAATTGAGGAGCATTTATATTCTGCCAGAAAGTACCAGGTGTTAGAGAAAAAGTAGCAGGAGGTGATGCCCTTGGGCTCAGCATCTGCTGGGTAAGCAAAACCCAGGTACATAGCTGGCAAGTTTCTTCAGACATGCCTTACAATGACCTATGAAGAAAATGTCATGATGTACATAAACATACAAATGTACAAACCTGAAACCATAATCTCATGACACTATGTATATGCTGTGTTCTCACACTTTCATTCTGTTATTCTGCTACCTATTGAAAAAAAAATACCAATCACTACCCACTACCCTGATTTCACCAACTACAAATGAGTCCACCTCAGAACTGAAATCACAGTATTATACACATCACCCAGTGACTTAAGTAAGAAACATGGGGACTCACCTAAGTTAATGAAAACATTGCTATTGATGCCATCATGGATGTAATTATAATTTAAATTATCATTTTTGTAATTTATTATTATAAAAATTTGGTCCTTTTGAAAACCACACCTTTATATTCCATTATCAAGTAAAGAAATTTCCAGGACAAGACAGCTGCTGCTTCAGGAATTACACCATGAACCAGCTAGGCCCAATGCAGGCACAAAGTCCCAACTTCCCAATGGTTTCTGGGAGATGTGTTTACTTATCCATATCTTTATCTCCTGGGGAATAAATGGGTAGTGTCCAGCAGTCACTATGACACCAGGTGTGGTACCAGGTCTAGAAATGCTGTCAACAACCACTAACCCCAAGGCCCTCAAGAATTACAAAGGTAGTCTCATAATGTGTTGCACCAGTATAGGCCAGAAAGGCCAGCCAAAAAAATACAGGCCTTAGGCCTGGAAGACATCCCATGCAAATGCATGGATAAGAACATTTCCTAAAGAACAGGTAAAATGCTCCCCAGAATGTTGGTCTGAAGTGGCTTAAAAGTATTTCCATTTTCAGCCAAGCATGGTGGTACACGCCTTTAATCTTAGCACTTGGGAGGCAGAGGCAGGTGGATCTCTGTGAGTTCCAGTCCAGATGGGGCTACAAGGAGGCCCTGTCTTAAAAAACCAAAAAAAAAAAAAAAAAAAAACCCATTTTCAACAAAACCCAAATACTTTCTCATATAATAAAGACTCAATAGGTAAAAAGCCAACATTAGATTTCACTGTAATTTGAGTTTTCAGTTTCTTTCTGAAAATCTTTCTGGTTCTAAAACATAGGATGATCACCAAGTCTCAAAACAGGCCAATATACAAGGAAATAGTTTATCGATATCTACATTGTGATACAGAAAGAAAAATTTATCTTTCCCCAGACTTTGTGGTCATTCTGAAGATCATTAAAAATATGCAGGCATCTCAATCTACAACAGTACCAAAAGTCACAGCCTGCCTCCTCATTATCCATGTGATGCGATTTACACACACACACACTCAGCTTCTTTGCTTATTTAATCTTATTTTTGTGTGTGGTGTGTGCAGTCACATGGGTGTACAAGCTCTTGCATAAGGCGGCCAGAGGTCAGACACCCTGCCTATCATCCTCTGCCTTATTCCCTGGAGACAGGGTCTCTCACTGAACCTGCTGGCAGGTAGCAATCCCCAGTGATTCTCCTGTCTCCAACCCCCACCCCCTCAGCACAGGTTACAGAGGTCCCACCCCCTCAGTACAGGTTACAGAAGTCCATGCCCAGCTTTACATGGGCTTTGGAGATTTGAACTCAGGTCCTCATGCTTGCATAGCAAGCACTGTTAAGTCTCTGAGCCATCTCCTAAGCCCCCCATTTATTTTATCTTTGCCAGTAGTCTCTAAACTCTAAGCACATATGGACTATCTTATTTACAGGGTCCAAAACAAAGAGAAAGCATTAGACATATGCGTCATATTTTCTTTCACATGACGCATTTTAGATGAACTTTGAAGTGTTCTTTTAAATAAAAGATAACTCAGCACTTCCAGAGCTGTGGGAATTTTTCAACACTGGAGAACAAAATCAACAGACTAGTTGGAAATGAGAGAGGGTTAAAGAGCAAAAAACGTCCTTGAAACCACAGAAAAAGAAAACTATCATGATTGTTTTCAGACATTACAACCCTAAGAAGAAGATAGTGATTTTTTTTCACATTTGCCAAAATATAGATGCCAAAATTCTCCATCTTTCTGTTTCCCTAAACAGATTTAAAAATTTTTATATGTTTGAGGGTTTTCTGCGCATGTACATATACGATGTGTGTGCAGTGCCTCTGGAGGTCGGAAGAGGGTGAAGGAGCCCTTGGAACTGGAGTTTTGGATGGCTGTACTAGGAACTGAACCTGGATCCTCTGCAAGAGTAGCCAGTGCTCTTAATCTCTGAGCCATCTCTCCAGTCCCCCTAAACAGATTTTAAAACAAAAATAAACAAACCACTCTTCTTTAAAAGAGTCTAAAATGCACTGAATTACTAAAGCAGACAGTTCTAGGACACTAACACCCTGGACTTTGTAGCTTTATGTATAGTGATGTCATCCAAGTTAAAGTCCATAGAACGTCTTGGTCCTTTGAAATACTCTAGAGGAGGTGGATTTAATGAACACACTGCGGTGTTTCCTCATGGTCACTCTGACTCTGTAATTATTTCAATTTACATGTGGAAACTGAGGCAAGGGACAATCTGCCTGAAAGCAGAGTAGGAACAGAAATCACACCTCACACTGCAAAGGACATGGAACACCTGAGAGATCCACGAGGAACTGCACTCTTCCTAAACTACTGACTTCTCAAAGTTTTCCTAACATATATTACCACTTAATCCTTTCTAAAGCATGAATTGCCGAAGGTGGCACTCTAAACAGCAAACAGTAAGGACGCATGCCGTACCTTGGACTTTACTCTTTAAATTCCTTAGCTGTCTTTCTAACACTGATTTAGCTAGCCTCTGGGCCTATCCAATCTCTTCAGGGATGTTTAAAAATACTACGTCCACATTTATGAATCGTAAAAGTTGTGGAAGAAAACACATGCAACCTCATAACCTAGATAGACAACATCCTAAGAACTAAAGCCTTTATGTTCACAAGACTTCGAGGACCAGAGAGCAGCAGAGTGCAACTTGGTGAACCACGAAATCAGGGGCGAAAGACGCCTAGGGAAGCACCTAATGTCCCACCAGCCAGACCCTGCTAAGGGATAGGAGGGGGTTGCCCCATCACCCCAAGCCCTCATCCATCTCTGCATCTCCAACACCCGGAATCTTCCTGTATCCCTCCATCTCCTGTATTCCCTCATCCTCTTGCATTCCCGCATCCTCTTCCATCCGTTATCCTCCTCCATGCCCAGTTTCTTTGCCAGAGGCGGTGCCCCAGCCTCAGCCAGCCCGGAATCTCCCGAAGCCATCCCCGCATCTCCGCTCACGGCCTTCCACCGAGGCTCAGTCCCGGACTGGAAGCGGCGGCCGCAGACGCGGAGCTCAGGCCAGGCCCGGCCCGGCAGGGAAGAGACACCGTGGACGCACTCCGGCAGCCCGCGGGCGGCTGAAGGTCACCCCGGGGAGGCCCGGGCGGCCCTTGCTCACCATGAGGGCGGTGTTCGGGGGCCACAGCGGGAGGACGGCCGTGCCACCCGAGCCCGGAGCAGAGGCCGACGGCGGGGCCCGCAGCAGGCGACGCGAGCGCGTGAGGATCCGGAGTGCACGGTACATGGTGCTGCGGTGCGTGGGTGGAAGGCTTGGAGCCCGTGGTCACGCCCCACGCTGTCTATCACAGCCCGCCCACGCCCGCATCCAATCAAAAGCCTCATCTTGAGCGTGGGGGCGGGACTAGTCCTAGTTGGCCTGTGGGCGTTCAGTTCCTGAGGGGCGTTTGAAGCCGTCAGGTTTATGGGAAACTAGTGGGAAAGGAATTATGGGAAAGGAAGTCGGGTTACATTTCAGCTGCAATTATAAAGTGTGGCTGAGAGAGGGGCGGGGGTTCTAGCTGATGAATCGGTCTGCTTGTGAAACAGCCTAGAGAGTTAGCAAGTTCTTTAGCATGCAGCCGTCTACAACATGAATCCGTTTTTTCCAAGTCTTATCTTCCTAGCTAAATGTTTAGAAAGTACAGCAAACTTTGTAGAGGGAAATAATTATTCATAGTGCCAACACTAAAAATAATCACTCGTTTTGTTGTTTTTTAATCTGTTATTTTGGATTCTGTCGATTTTCCTTTTTTTTTTTAACGTGTGCTCTCAATATTTTTCTAAATGCAGTATGGGAGATGTCCATAGTTAACGAAGATCTTTAGCTTCTCTTCAATATGGTTACTAATGTCTATGCTTTCAGAGTCAAGAAAGGCATTGTTTTAATGATGAGGACACAGAAAAACAAAAACCGATTTAAAACTACATCTGAACCACGGTTTTAACCTTTTCTTTTGCCCTATCTATTGCTTGGAACCGGACGACAGATTAAAAAGAAAGTTGTGCTGAGCATGAGCATGGTTACCCAGATCTATATTCCTAACCACCACTCTGAAAGCCAAGGCAGAAGGATCTCAAGTTCAAAGCCGACTTGGGCTATATAGTGAGACCCCAGCATCTTGGAGGTGGTGGCTGGAGGATCAGGAGTTCAAGACCATCCCTCTGCTATACAATGAGTTTGAGGTCATCTTGGGATATAGGAGATCCTGTCTCAAAATAAAATGAAATAAGTAAATATGAGATTACTAGTTGATCTAAAATCAAAACACTCCATAAAACCCATGCAAATTATTCATGCCTCAGTATCTCCTCCCCCTCTCAACTAATGGTTAAGAAATTACCTAGAATATTTGATGAAAAAGTGAAGCCAAGGATTATTTAGAAGTTGGGTCAGAATTAAAAAAAAAAAAAATTGAAACAAGATAAAGCCATCTCACCCAAAAGTTTAGACTTTTCAGCATTAAAAGGCAACCACAAGTTAAATGTGAAGATAATGGGAGGTTTGGCAGTTAATTTGACAGAAAACTCTTATCGGCATGGATCTGAGTTCAGAGGGCATCAGATGATATTTTCAGGTTCTCGTGTTTCAGAACAAAGAATTGGAGCAGGGACACGTGGATAGTGATAGAAATAAGACAGCCTTTAAAGAAACATAAGAGGAAGGTACTTTTGGCCTGATTTGTGAGTTCATTTGATGTTCCTTTTCTTCTTTCTGTCCCTCCTCTTTTTTTTGTGTGTGTGTCTTTTTGAAGCAGGGTCTCCCTGTAGCCCCAGCTGTCCTGGAACTCGCTATGTAGACCAGGCTGGCCTTGAACTCACAGAGATCTGCCTGCCTCTGCCTCCCAAGTGCTGGGACTAAAGGCTTGCACCACCACGCCCAGCTTTTTCTGTCTCTTTTGAAAGAACTGCTTGTCTTATTTATTTTTAGAATGATTTATTTTTTCCTTTTTTAAAGACTTGTGCAATCCATTTTGAGGTGAAACAGTGAATTTTTTTGTCTGATAAATTAGAAAATTTAAGTGACTATTACCCAGATAGATTTTTTTTGAGTATTTGTTAAAGCCTAATTCTTTAAGTTATGATAAGTCCCAAATGACAGCACCTTGTTGTTTACCTAGCTTTTGTACTACTGTACTATTGTAAATTGTAATAGTCAATACATAATCCTATTGTATGCAGCTCTGTGACTGTTAGCCATGTCATCTCAGGATCATATAAATAAAGTTTATTTCCTATAAAAAAAAAAGAAAAGTGAACTAGACAGCTGGGACGGTCCGGAGGTTCAACAACCCCTGTGTCATGACCTGTTACATCCCATTTTCCAGTGTTTGGAGATTGACTTTTTTGAATGCATACCCTGCACAGGGGCGAGGGGGGGGGGCTGCGGAGCTCCAGGGTTCCCCTTGTCCTCTGCCACTGCCATTAGTTTCTTTTGTATGTTGATATTAATGACTCATTCTCCATGCCCTACTCTCCTGCCACAAAACTGTATGCATGTTTCTTATCACTTACCATCATTTCCTTGCAAATAGTAATGTTTGTTCTGTACCCTTTGAACCCTGAGGCCCTGCTGCATTGGGGTTTGCTGTAGATCTGAACCTAACACCCTTCATGAAATGAAAGATACATTTCTAACAGTGAGTGGCATTTTCTTCTTCCTCTTTCCAGAAGCGCTCATTATTTCAGTATGTATTCTTCTAGACCATCCTTGTATTTTTTTTTTGGCTTCAGTCATTGGTGTGGAAACAATGTTTTTGGTGGGAGGGGGTTGCTTTTTAATATTTTATTTATTTATATGTATGAGTGTATTGCCTGCATGTATGTGAGTGCACCCATGTCGTGCAATGCCACAGAGGTCAGAAGAGGACTTCGGATTTCCCTGGAACTGGAGTTAAGGACGGTTTGTAGCAAACGATGGTTTTAAAAATTCATTTTAAAGTGTATTGTTTTGAGATATAACCATGATAATAATATTCCATTACATGGAGAGAAAATTTACCCTTTTTGTTGGATTTTGGTGTAGACAGGGTCTCATGTAGCCCAGGCTGACTTCCAGCTTGGTATGTGACTTTGAACACCTTACCCTCCTCCCTCTACCTCCCAAATACTGGGTTTACAGGCTTGTGCTACCACCCCTGGCTCTCAGATTTCTTAATGAAGTAGTAATTTTTGCTAGGACACAGAACACTTTAATGCGCATAAATTAATGGTTTGTTCACAGATCTTCATTAGATAATGTCTACTTCTTTGCATTCACTCACTGATTTATTTTGGGTGGGGAGGTAGAGGTATGCATGTTCATGCCACAGCATACACGGATAGGACAACTTGTAAGAATTGGTTCTCTCCTTCCAGTATGCAGGGAATTAACTCAGGTCTCCAGGCCTAATGTCAAGCGCCTTTATGGGCTGAACTATCTCCTGGCCCCAGTATCGTTTATTGCTTTTTCAAAAAACTATTTTATTTATTATTTTTATGTGTATGAGGATATTGCCTGTATGTGTATAAGTGCACCCATGTTGTGCCATGCCTGTGGAGGTCAGAAGAGGGCACTGGATTTCCCTGAAACTGGAGTTATTTGCTTTGTTCTTACTGGCACTTGCTAATTTGTTTATTTCTGTTTTATTTGCTCTCTGTTCTTTGTAAGCTATGACCTAGTCCCTGATTTGGGAGACAAGTGAAAACCTAACAGTTTTCTCTTCTGTTCTAAATCTTAACTCCCAGCTGACAGACTTGATGACAAGGTTCCTCTCAGTCAAATTATTCTGGGGCTAGGAGAATGGTTCATTGTAAAGTGTGCATGAGAGGGCTCAGGGTTCTAATCCAGAAGCAGGGAAAGAGCCAGATGGGGCAGAGAAAGCGAGTTCTCACTGTTCTAAATAAAGACCTTGAGGTATACGTGTACCTCCTAGCCAGGGCACTTGACAGAGAGTTATTTTTGGATGAAGTTTATAAGATACAACCATAAAAAAGTTTGTAAGACAGTTCTACAGAAAGTTTGGAAGATACAACCATAAATGTCTCCCAGAAAGTAGAACACACATTCAAAGAGAAGAAAAATAGTATGTATAAACTTGTAAGATTGGAAAATAGTGTGGCACATCAAACATCAAATAATATAAAGGAATAAAGTTGAAAAAAACCTTTAAACAAAGAAATCAAGAAAATGCCACTGGGGCTGGAGAGATGGCTCAGTGCTTAAGAGCTCCTTCTGCTCTTGATGAGGACTTGAGTTTGGTTCCCAGTACCCACTTCTGGCTACTCACAACCACCAGTAACTCCAGCTCCAGGGGATCTGACACTCTCTTCTGGATGGACTGTAGGCATTTGCACTCACATGTGCACAAACCCCACTTCCACACACACATACATATACATATAATTTTTTAAATCTTTTTTTAAATAAGAAAAGAAAATAGCATTGATCGAGTGAATATGAGCTAGCCAGAACAAACCAAGTCAATAAGAAATGTTGAAACACCAGAGACAAAGAGAAGAACTCAGGATTTTCCAGGGAGAATCAGAGTAAGGTCCACACAAAGATCCAGGAATATCTCAGGACCTCAGGACACTGGCAACGTTAGAACTTGTTAGTCTCCTTTGTTTCCCCAGACAGTTTTGCTTCTACTTTCAAGTCATATATACCTACACAGAAGAAATAAGTTCTTTTTATTTTATTTATGCATTATTTTTATTTTACGTGTGTGAGTGTATGTAGGTAGGTGTACCCATGTCGTGCAGTGTTTGCGGAGCTCAGAAGAGGGTGTCAGATCCCCTGGAACTGGAGTTGCAGATGGTTGCTAGCTGCCCTGTGGGTACTGGGACACCCGAGAAAGCATAAATGTATTTTTTTCATAGACATTGTTCAGCCTTAGAACTGAAGGTTACATTGTTACTAACATGTTAAATTCACAACTTTCTTTAAAAAACTGTGTTTTGGTTTTTGGTGGGTTTTTTGTTTGTTTGTTTGTTTGTTTTTTTGGTCTTTTTGAGACAGGGTCTTCCTGTAGCTCCAGCTGTCCTGGAACTCACTATGTAGACCAGGCTGGCCATGAACTCACAGAGATCTGCCTGCCTCTGCACCACCACGCCCGGCTGCAGCTGGCTGGGAACTCACTATGTAGACCAGGCTGGCCACGAACTCACAGAGATCTGCCTGCCTCTGCACCACCACGCCAGGCTGCTTTTGTTTTTTAACTCACAGAGCTCCACCTGCCTCTGCCTTCCGAGTGCTGGGATTAAAGGCGAGCGCCACCATGCCAGGCCTAAAAAATTGTT